ACAAAAACGACAAAAATCGGTGTTGCCTACACGTGTTATCCCCTTTTAAAATTCGCACCCTGTTGACTTGAATGGGGCAAGTTCTAAACCTGCTTTTAGCCTCTTAACAACCTTGATTTGTCATTACAAGTGCACAGCCATGTGAGTGGTGTTATTAAGAGTGACCACGGTCAATCTGACTGCAGTAGATGTGCAAGATATTAATAAAAATGATGTTAATTCAGCCAGCTCACATACCTGTATTTACTTCCTGTTTTCGTTCGAAGTCCACAGTAGTCGATTGTCGAGTTCGCGCGCGCGATCATAATGACAATGACAATGACAATCGACTACTGTGGACTTCGAACGAAAACAGGAAGTAAATACAGGTATGTGACCTGGCTGAATTAACATCATTTTTATTAATATCTTGTAGAGGTCGACCGATTCATCTGTTTTGCCGATTAATCGGCACCGATAGTTGTTTGGTGGAACTATCGTTATCGGCAAAAATCCACACCGATAGTTTTTCCGGGTTGCGTCCGTTGCTGGAGCGGCTGAGAAGTGCGCGCGGTCATTACACAGCAGGAGAGCGCTCAGAACAGAAGAGACTGCTGGCATTATACAGAGTGAGAGCGGCCTCTAGAGGACAAATAACAAACTATCACTGGCTGAGTTGTTTACGTTAACACGTGAGGCAGCGCGCAGCACGGAGAGAACACGCAGCGAGAGCGCTGACATTTAAAACACCGACAGCGAAACGGTATGAATACATAACACTAAAGTAGCTACATATTGCCATATCATTACAAATTAATTCATTTGTTGACTAGATGCTGCATCAGCAGAGAAAGAACAGTAGTTTGCCGTCGAGGCTGTGAGGACTCTCATTACCTCAGTCAACCGTTAATGCAATGTGACAAAAACACACGCAGACCTGACCCAAATGTTTTATGGCGCAATTGTTACCATCTATTTGCATTATTTTTATCCGGCTGGTCATTTTTATGCATTCATTAGCCGACGAAGTTGCATATTTAAAACTAGTGACGTGATTGCTTTCTCAACATTGATATGTTCGTGCAGCCGACAGAAACGTAAACTAATCAGAAACGCGTTCGATTTAAGATCTTTTTAATCACTACAATAGATCTTGTTATTTTGATTAGATAATCATCAAGTGTTCTAAAATATAGAAGCAAATAAAGTGAGAGACTATAGGCTATATTACGTATACATACTACAGGTCTTTTTCTTTATTACATTTTAATGGACATCTTTAAGCACGACTCTTTGGAATCATATGAAATGGTAACACTTTACAATAACATTCCATTTTTAGCATTAAATAAGGTTAATACAAGTTGTAGAAGAATTATTCATTGTTACGGTAGTTTGTTAATTTCAACATTTACTAATGCATTTGAAATGGAGTTTTAATTCTTAATTTATCTTTTATTACCTTAGTTAATGTACTATGAATGAACTAACATGAATGATAAAGGTACAATTGTATTGCTCATATTAATACATGCATTAAAAAGGTATATTGCATTATGCATATAGTTCATGAAAGCTAGTTAATACATCCTCGTTTACAAATGGGACTTGCAAAGTGTTACCTATGAAATGTACGTATGTTTCTAGGTTATAGCTAACGAAACCTGTAATATTTTAATGTTTAAATTATTTTCTGTATAAAGTTTTAATATATTCATATTTATTTATTTAATTGAGCACATTTCAGTTCAGCACTGTTTTATTGTGAGTATGATGTTTGTTTTTAATCCAGTATCCATTAAAAAAAATATCGGTTGAATTATCGGTTATCGGCATGTACGGTCAAACCTAGATATCGGTATCGGTAAAATCCACTATCGGTCGACCTCTAATATCTTGCACATCTACTGCAGTCAGATTGACCGTGGTCACTCTTAATAACACCACTCACATGGCTGTGCTCTTGTAATGACAAATCAAGGTTGTTAAGAGGCTAAAAAGCAGGTTTAAAACTTGCCCCGTTTAAGTCAACAGGGTGCGAATTTTAAAAAGAGGATAACACGGTGTAGGCAACACCGGTTTTTGTCGTTTTTGTCTGTACTGACAGCACTCCAAATGTACAAAAAAATGAGCTCAATGTTAAAATTGACCGGAGTTCTCCTTTAACAATACAGATGTTTTCCAATGAATGTTGTTTTTGAAAACCAACTTTGAGTGAGAGAGACTGATGGCTTTAGTTCCCAGCTGAAGCATTTTGAGTCAAATGCCAATTATGGATTTTGTGCCCCATGTCTCACTGTGTCTGAAGTATCATCAGCTGTGATTTATTTGTCCCTGTGGGAGGATCATTCTTAATCACATCCACATATCTTTATGATTGCTGGTGGCACAACAGTCTTTTCTGGCTCATTATGTCTTTCGCCTGCAGCAAGCTTCCCTTCTCACCCCTTCAGCTGTTCGAGGCCACTTTCCAATCCGGAGGTTCACTTAAAATGATAAAATAATTATAATGTTTTTAAATAAGTATTTTATGCTCACCAAGGCTGCATTTATTTGACAGAAAAACAGTAATATTGTGATACAATATATTATTGCAATTTAAAATAACAGTTTTTTTTCATTAAGTAATTTATAACTTAATAACAAGGTTCCAATTGTTAACATTTGTTAACATGAGCAAACAATGAATTAAACATTTCTTAATTAGTTTGTTAATTTCAACATTTAATAATACATTATAAAAATCAAGTTGTCATGTTAATATGTAATGAGCCTGAATCAACATGTTCTAAAAATGAATAGTTGCATTATTATTAACTAACGTTAACAATCATTAATAATGTAACAAATGCATTGCTCGTTTAAATTCAAGTTAGTTAGTTGCATTTAACTAATGGGACCTTATTGTAAAGTGTTACATTTATCGATGGAAAAGCTGAATTTTCAGCATCATTCCTCAAGTCTTCAGTGTCTGTCACATGATCCTTCAGAAATCATTCTAAGGCTGATTTGGTGCTCAAGGAAAAAAATTATTAGCAATGATGAAAACAGTTTTTGTAGAAACAGTGATACATTTTTTTCAGGATTTGAAATATAGAAAGTTCAAAAGAACAGCATTTATTTGAAATAGAACTTTCTTGTAATATTGTAAATGCCTTTACTGTCTCTGTTGATCAGTTTGATTCGCCTTTGCTGAATAAACATAAAAATATAATCCCCTTTTTCTACTGAAACTTCCATGTAGACACTATTCACATTGGTTACTTATGGGTTGTGTTGTAAGTTAGTTGTAATTGCAACAGCTTTTAATGACACAACCTTTTTGCAAAACCTGCACGACATTGTGACAGGCTGACAAAACGATCCAAGTTGAGATGTTCTGAACAAACTAATAATGTCCGACTGGCAGTACAGGGTCAAAAAATTCATTCTTTTGTTGGAACACTGTACAGTCAGATGGTTATAAAGATTTCCAGATGCTACCAAAGAAAAAAAACATGTTTGACAAACTTCCCCCACAATATATTTATTACGGAAACTTCCTATCTCAATTTTTTACTTAAGATTTGAAAAATGTTCAATTTCGTAAGTGAAATCACCATTGATAGGATAGGATTCCAAGTAAGGATGTTGCCCTGCTTCTTAAAAATACCGGTAATACCAACTGTCCTTTTACTTTCAAATGTTTATTTATTCTGAAAGTATGTTTACATATAGTACATCAAACTCTTATGTGAGAAGTGCAATGAAAATGAGATTTTTCATGATATATGCTCCCTTCAATTACGCCTTAATTCATCAGAAATGGATGCATGGTGTATTTTATGTGAACGTGCTTCGACAAAAAAGTCCTTATGCTTGCTTGCTGCAAACAAACAGAACACTTATTCCACATGTACCTGAAATTAATGTGAAAATCACTGATGTACATCCCTTTTAGTGGTCACAAAAACTCCCAAGTAGACACTCACGGGCAGACGCACGCCCACATGTGCACACAAAAATCTCAGATGACTCACTTTTCCATCAGTTGCCATGGACACCCAGCTTTCCCCCAGCTTGAGAGCACAATACAATTACTAGGCTCTAATTATCTGCCATACAACCTTCCCCTCACCACTAGAAAGAAAAAAATGAATCTTAAATTCCCTCTCTTACTACAATCCAACATATTATGTCTCTACTACATCTCATGTTTGAATTAAGAGACGGAGGAAGCTGAATCCATCAGCATGGGAGTTGGTGTGTGTCAGTGTTATTCCACGGTGTGACATTGCAGGATACACACAAATTATATAGGCTGTCATATGATGCAGGGCAGACGTGTTACTGTTTATGAGTTTAGAAAGAGGTTAGATTTTGCATTCAAAGCTTAAAAAGCAAATCAGCACATTTCAAAAGAATAAAGGCTTTTTTTTTTATTCCAAAGTGACGGATTTTGAGATGTATATTTTTAATTGTGTCCATAGTTGTGTCCATAGTGCATGAAGTGTATTACCATGCATATATAGGCCTATGTATGTATATAACTTGTTATGCCTCAGTCTCACAAGTACTTGTGTCTATTGTTTGCTGGTGGTTAGTCCAGATAAGGAGAAAAATATTTAAACCCTTTTTATCCATTTGGCATTTCTCAAATGCTGGTTAAAGAAAGTGAGTGGTCACTGTAAACATCTGTCTGCTGAAAATATTGAAAAAGATTAAAGTCTGAATGAAGGTGGTCCAAATGTTGTAGCCGACATTCACTGTCCCTAAAATATACATAAATGTGGTTTATTGTAGACTGACCATTACAGTGCTCTGCCATGCAATTTATATTTGAAAGGATGAATGCTTTTCCATTTACTGGATTTGATGAATTTTCTTTGTTATTGGTTATGTGGAGGCGTGGTGAGTTGGGGTTATATTAAGGAAAAAATGACAAAATGTAAGAATTATGGAAGTTGTTCTTTTCCAAAGTAATGTAGAAAATTGCCACCACATATTGTTTTTATCCCTTTTGGTGCTCTTCTATGAGGTGCCCCTAGGGACATTATTCAGAATTACCATGCACATACACATATGAAACTAAATTCATTCACATACTATACTGAAATGCTCTCACACACACAACTGAAACGCTCTCATACATACAACTGAAATTATTACGCTCACTCACACAAGTGAAATTTTCACACACACACAAGTGAAATGCTCTCACACACACAACTGAAACGCTCTCATACATACAACTGAAATTATTATGCTCACACACACAACTGAAACGCGCTCACACACACAAGTGAAACGCTCTCACACACACAACTGAAATGCTCTCATACATACAACTGAAATTATTACGCTCACGCACACAAGTGAAACGCTCTCACACACAACTGAAACGCGCTCACACACACAAGTGAAATGCTCTCACACACAACTGAAACGCTCTCATACATACAACTGAAATTATTACGCTCACACACACAAGTGAAACGCTCTCCCACACACAAGTGAAACGCGCTCACACACACAAGTGAAACGCGCTCACACACACAAGTGAAACGCGCTCACACACACAACTGAAACGCGCTCACACACACAACTGAAACGCGCTCACACACACAACTGAAACGCGCTCTCACACACAACTGAAACGTGCTCACACACACAACTGAAATGCTCACACACACAACTGAAAAGCATTTTAGTAGCTATGTTGTATGAAAGCATTTCAGTTGAAACGGAAGGTGGTTAAAGTCCCCAGTCCAGTCGGTGGCAGTAGTGCACCGCAAGCGACCGCAGTTGACCGTTCGTTCGCCCGCCAATCGCGCTACTATCAGAAAATGTCTAATTGAAGAGAATGGGCACTGTCTGGTTACTTCCGGTTTCTGGACTGGCTGCAGTAACACGTCTCTGTCCATGCGGGGGCGCTCGCAGGCAAGTGCAGAATGAATGGGAGTCTGGGGTTTCACCCCCAGAAATCCACTTTTCTCAGGATGTAATTTTTTTGTCAAGTAATTTGAAAGTTGCATTCAAAAGGGAGGGCGAAGATAATACACTCAGCTGAAAATTGCATTTTTAAGTTCACTTATCTGTTCTAAAAATCCGTTCAAAAATGTGATGACGTCACATAATAGCAGAATGCTAGCGTGTTCCGGCCAACAACGGCCTAACCTGTAAGAAATCGAAAGGACAGAAGTACTTGTTCATTCAACTTTTGGTCTATAATCTATATTGAACTTGCGGAATCAACAATAAAATCTATGTTGATTCAACGACAAGCAGGAGAAAGAGATACATTTAGCCTTTTAGCTCCATAGACTCCCATTCATTCTGCACTCGCCCGCGATCACCTCCAGTGGAATTCTAATGGAACTGCAACGATACACAATGGGGCTAATAGGAAGTGCCAAGGCTCTCCGTTAGACGGGCTCTGCTACTATACACCAATGTCTGCATTTAACAGGGTTCTGATGGTCTCCGCTGAGGCCAATATGAGCTGTGTCCCAATGTGAAGGCTGCATCCTTCGAAGACCGCGGACTAGAAAGAGTAGGCTAGTCTAAATATTAGACTAAATATTTCTAATATCTAGAAATGTTTTTCATAAATAAAAAATCATCAAAATGATGCAAAAAGATATTTATCCAAAATATGTGTTGTAGTATAACCATCAGGACAGTAGTGGTGTGTGAACTGAAGTTGGCATAAATACAGGGAATAACAGTGAAGTTATTGAATAGGCCTATTTGTCATAAATAAAAATCATACAAAATATGCAAAAATATTTTATTTCCAAAATAAGCGTTGAACTGAATTTGAATCTGAACTGAATTTGGTGACACTGTAATGTGTGACAGTGAAGTTATTGACTGTTTTCGTAGTAACGCTTTTCGGCAGTGTTGTGCTAGTTACTAAGAAATAGTAACTAGTTATAGTTACTAGTTAGCCTACTTCATTCAAAAAGTAACTCAATTACTTTGTTGATACTTACACCAAAAAAGTAATGCATTACACCAAAAGTACTGTTAAAAGTAACTTTTTAGTTACTTTAAAAAAAAAACCATTATTTAATGTTCTCATTAATGCCCTTTTATGCGTTATGGTCTTTACAAACGCGAAACTGACTTAAACAGAAAGTAATTTTTAAACACTATTTTATTTAAGTCAGACCAGCACAAACTGAAAATATCACAAGGATTTCTGAGGTGACTAGCTGACTCGCGATCTTCGCAGTAGGCTAGTGAACGCGCCACAGAGAAATGCACATTTCATACGGATTACATAAGCAGAGAGCAGTCTGTAGTCTGTTTTCTTTCGTTTTGAATTGTTCTGCTTAAAAGTAGACATGTCTGTGAGGCAAGTAGGTTACCTTATAGGCCGAGTTTCGGTTCATTTAGCCTATGAGACGAGCTCCAGTTCACGCGCCGGCGGCTCCGTTTCGTGATTCGTCTGCTATGTTTGCTTCTTATTTATTAAATCCAGGCAATTGGTTGATGAAACATTGATTAAAATTAAGATACAATTAATACAAAACGAAATTCACTTTAAAGAAAGGTTTTGTGCTTTCTGTTTGATGTCTATGTGAAAGTTTTAAAGCATATTTTAGTGCCGCTTTCAGAGCGCTCACGTCGGTAACGGAGAACTGTCACATCCGTAACATTGTTTTTTCCCCATAAATGCGAACACTAAAAATAAAATAAAATGAATTTTTTGTTCTGTGGAGACTGAGAGCCAACCCTTCTTCATCCGGTGGGTAGGCTATTACTTTGGTTTGCGCAGTGTAATTCACAGAATTACTAAACAATATTTTAGGCCTATAAAATTCAGCCCGTATAAATGTGCATTTTCTAAGCTTGGAAAATGGAAAAAATTCATTTGATTCTAATCATAATGTAACATTATTGTGAAAATGATTTCTGTATAGGCTATTTGCTATTTGTATTATGTTTTTATCCAACTAGGCTATGTGTGGGCCTTATGTAAAATACGGGTCAAATCGCGTCCCTTATTGATTTGATACGGGACGCATCATTTTACTTGTAAATACGGGACAATTCCGTATTTTAAGGGACGGGTGGCAATCCTACCACCAATCCTACAATGCGTCACTGCTGTAAACAGGTTAGGCTGTAGGCTACACTTCAGCCAAAATTAATTAATTTAAAAAAGTAATGGGGTTTTGCCAGATGTACGATAATTATCGTATTTGTACGATAATTTTGACCTCTGTACGATGTACGATCAATAATGGAAAAAATCCCATAATGTACGATAATTTCAGAATTTTGTGACACTTTAATCGGAGGTCATTGTAATCATAGTGCTTCTATATACTCATTGATCTAGCTGTGGATCTACGTCATGATTGTGAGGAGAAAGTGAATGTGAGAGAGCATGGCAGAGAAGGAGAGAGTGAGAGACCTTGCGTGTGTGCCTCATGAAAGCTATACACCCCGTCAACAATCCAGTCCAATATTTCCAATCTGGCAACACTGATGCCCGCACACGCAAGGTCTCTCGCTCGCTTTCCCTCTCTTCCTCTTTGGAGCACAATCCGTGCACGCTCGCTCGAGATTTTAACTAATTTGCGGTATGACTAGTCGATCACGAGTGGCTCAACAGGTAGATATATAGATAAACTCATCTTTCAGGCATTTGACCGACCGGGTTGACACTTCAGCGTGAGAAATCGGGGGTTTGGCGTGTGAAACCAATCAAATGCGGGTGTCTCACGGCTAATGCGTGAGAGTTGGCAGCTCTGCAAATGTATAGTAGCCTACAAAGCACAAAGCAGTCGACTAATTTTTGGCACAAATGGTGCCAAATCTCAAGACGAAGAACTAAAAGCTGTTGAAAAAAAGCATAGTAGAAAAGCACGCCTTTCACAATACAAGCGACCGCAGTTGACCGTTCGTTCGCCCGCCAATCGCGCTACACCAATGTTTGCTCAACAGCAAAGAACATTAACCGAGGCAGCGGGCTTGCTGAACACCATATTGATCTCAGCGGAGACCACCAGAACCCTGTCAAATGCAGACATTGGTGTAGCGCGAACGAACGGTCAACTGCGGTCGCTTGCGGTGCACTACTGCCACCAACTGGACTGGAGTGGGGACTTTAACCACCTTCGTTTCAACTGAAATGTGCTTCCGTTTCAACTGAAATGCTCTCACACACACAACTGAAATGCTCACACACACAACTGAAATGCTCTCACACACACAACTGAAATGCTTGCATACAATATACTGAAATGCTTCTCAGTTATGTGAGTGAGCGTTTTTAGTTGTGTTTGTAAAAGCATTTCAGTTGTATGTATGAGAGCGTTTCAGTTGTGTTTGTAAAAGCATTTCACTTGTATGTGTGTGAGCATTTCATTATAGTATGTGAATGAATTTGGTTTCATATGTGTATGTGAGAGGAAAAGCACATGTATATGCATGGTAATTCTGAATAATGTCCCTAGGGGCACCTCATACTCTTCTGTCGTTTTTGACCGAAAAAGTTTTTTTGTTGTTGTTTTAGAATTTTTTACTTTATTGGAATGGTGCGAAACTTGGTAAAGGTTTTGGCATTTGATATGTGAACACACAAAAAAATAATTAACATGATTTAAAAAAAGGTTAAATGGTCCTGAAAATAAGTCACACTTGTACTTTTCATGCTCAAAAATGACAGTATTGGAAATGAATGGAAAACGAATGTCATCTAGTAGATGCGTTTGGTACTGTGCCCAAACAAAATCTTACTGGAAGCTCATTTCTTGAGACATAAGCTTCAAATTTTAATCACAACTTGTTTAGATTTATGGTTTGATTTTATCACAGTTTTTGAGTAAAACATGTTTTGGAAAATATATATTTCATTAAAAAAAATTCAATAGTATTTTTGTGCTTTTTTCACAACAATAAACCTAAACTTCTATAAAAAAAATGGTTAACTTTTTTTTTAAACTTTAGCAATAAGCAAGTGTCGTCTTGCTTAAAAGAGACCATAAGTCCGTGCTCCAAAGCATTCAAGACTGTATGATCAAAAAGCGAATAAATGGATTATAACTAGGGGTGGGCGATGTGACCAAAATCGTATTTCAAGAAATTTTATTTCACGATATAGCTATTTTTATTTAATTTATCTTATTAAAAATAAGAACAAAGAAGCAAATTACAAACAGTAGGACAAAATACATTAAAGCAAAGATAGAAATTAAATAAACTTTACCTTTTTTAAGCTACAAACCTGCAGTAAGATACAGAAATTGAATAGGCCTAATGTATAACTAAAACACTGCATAGTCTTCACTGTATGAATCAAATATGAACTGATTCTTATTAAAGATACAAAAGTGATTCGGTCAAGAGCAGTGAGTGATTTTCTCTTTGTCTTTTTGTTGTTTGATTAACATTGATTGAACAGTTATGCTGCTGTCCCTTTAAGACCGAGTGCATGGATCCAATTTACACGGTTTACATTAATTCAAGACATAACCGACTATGTTTACGTGAATACTCCACACGACAGGCATTTTGACATTATTGTGCGTCTATCTGACCATTCAAGCGCAATAAGACATTAAAGAGAACTGAACTTGCGATCACATGCTGTCTGAGAGAAGCGGCTTTCTGTGCGCACTTCTGGTGTATGTCAGTCAGTGCGAGCACCAACCATGGAGTTCTTTTTCTAACTTTATTAAACAT